TGAAGGTTCTAGTTACACCTTCACAAGTATTGTACGTGGAGACGAGGCTACGTACCAATGTACAGCACACAATGGAAATGAGTGTCCTGCAGCAACTGCSCGATCATCCATCACTGTCACGTGTAAGTTACTTTTTACATGGATACATATATTTTCTAAAATGAATTTTGTTCGTGTTGTGTGTAATATATTGTTCATTTATTGGTCCCACATTAATATTGTTGGCTATTTAGTTGGTTTACAGCTTGTTTAATTTGTTTTCAGATAAACCTGAAAATACAGTTATCTCCATCGATAAAAGCAGCGACGTATTAATGYATGGAGAGACAGTCACAATGAGGTGTCAGTCAACAGCAAAGCCAACTCAGTGCAACTTGCTGTTTTATAGAGGAAATACGCTATTGGCAAACRAGTCTAGCAGCACATGTTCTGAAAGTCACGTGATATATAGCGTCCAAGGATGCAATGATGAAAGGYTTTACTGTGTCGCAGAGAATAGTGCAGGGACTGGTGAGAGGGCCTACTACAATGTTACTGTTCTAGGTGGGTCTCAATATGAAGAGTAATGAAATATTRGTATAGGAAATCGCACGATCTCGAGTAAAGGCGAGTGCAATTAAAGAACTTTCAAAACATTACGAGTGTCTATTAATTCCAAATTGTACGAGAAGATCGAGAGATTTTTTGTTTATAGTTCRCTCAACAAAGTTTCAGTAAAAAATGAGAAGCGACGCCGTTTATCTTTGTCGATTTGGCGGCYGATTTTCAGTTCATCTCGCAACTGAAATGCATAAAAAAGATTAGTTCTTATTAGTYTTTACGSCTTTTTTTTTTTGCCGATGTTGACATTGTTTTGGCCGTGTTTCCATAGCGACTTAATTCGGTACTCCTACGGAGTACAATTAACGCTATAATTGTACTCCTCTCCGACTAATCAGAGTCGAGTAATTTTGTTTAGTGTACTATAAGGCAGAGTATGGGCATATTGGGCACAGTCTGATATTCAGTATTGAATTAAGACTCAATTGTAATATTTTGTTTTTCCACTTTRTAGTTCTTCCTACCATTTCTATCACTCCTTCCACCGACCGAATAGCTAGGGCGGAAGGGACTTCATTATCATTAAGCTGCGTGGCTACAGGATGTCCAACTCCGAATATCACATGGACAAAGCTGAGCATTACAAATCCTCTTTCACAGTCTTTTGGCAATGGAAGTATACTGGTCCAGCAGTTTAGAGGCTTGGATAAGGAAGACACAGGAAGTTATAGGTGCTTTGTTTATAATGGAGTTGGAGAAAGCCCTATGACAAAAACCATTTATCTTAATGTTACATGTAAGTTTATTTTATAGTCTTATCAAACCTGCGGCTGATATAGTTCATATAATGGTTAGTTCTATAAAATAGCATTCACAAGACCTCGAGAAATTATACATGAGTGGCATGATTTAGGTGCATTAGTGGGCAGATTAGACTTCAACATTCCCTTTTTTCCTTCAAAGTCGATGGAGTCGTTTTTCCTGTCTTAAAAGCGCGAGTAGTAGGGGAAAGTCTAAGTTATTACGAGAGTCAGGATAGGAAAAAAGGGGTACTCTAAAACCAAGTCTTTTAATTCTGCCACTGCAAACAACAAGTCAACATTGTTTAATTTCTTTCAGACAAACCCTATAAAACAAATATTACAAGACAGTTTAATCGAACAATCTGCATTAACGACGTGGAGACCCTGCAGTGCATAACCAATGCCAACCCACCAGCACATGAATATCGCTTCTACTTGAGTGATCAGCTTGTACATACCAGCATGTCTGGAGTCTATCAGTTGAATGTTCCACAAGCAGGCAATAATGTATACAAGTGTGAACCAAAGAACACTGTGGGAGCTGGACAGAATGCATCRGTGTTGATTCCAACAAAAGGCATGTATCGTATTTTGAGGCTAAATTTAAACGCTTATAGGTGCTTTTAACGATAGTATTATTTGTGCAATTTTTATTTAAAATTTTTGTTATTGAATTTTTCAGCTATCCCCAATATTATTTGGATTTCTTCAAGTAGGACATTTGCTGAAGGAGAAGTTGCGGTTTTGGTCTGCATTGTGATGGGCACTGTGCCAATGAACGTGACTTGGAGTAAAATAAGTGGCCCTTCCTATCCCGAAGGTCACACACACACCTTCACCAGTATACAACACCAAGACGAGGGCACGTATCAATGCACAGCCAGTAATGGAGATGAATGTCCGATAACGACTGCACAGTCCAACATCACCGTTATCTGTAAGAAAATAATTCTCATTCAAGTTTTCATTTTATCTAAATTACCAAATTATCACGCCTGCTGTTGTGCACATACCCAGCCCCGTAACCAAGTATGTATACACATATACTCMTAACGTCAGCTAACTCAAAGCCCTATTCCACATTTCGGTTCCGCGACCCAAGTTTATACTCAAAGATGGTATAAATATTACTTTTAAAATGTCGAATGCTAATTACAATAACCGAGGCCTTTACCAAGGTAAGTAGGTATAATATTATATTACCTATGATCTTGAAGCCTTGAATTGAGTTGTCCTTGACCAATTCCCCAAAAACCATGGCATAGCTATTTGAGGAAAGAGCATGTCAGTGGTATTCAACAGATTTCATTTTGTCTTACAGTTAAACCAGAACAAACGAGTCTGTTGGTTCCTAGGAGCATAGCCTGCTTAAACGACCCAATGACTCTCAGATGCAATTCAGGGAACACGAAGCCGAATCCTCATCTTTACCATTTCTATCAAAACCAAGTGTTGCTCTCTAAGGAAAGTACAGGAATCTACACGTTTAATATRAGAGTAAAAGGAAACAATACATACACTTGCGTACCCGAAAACAAGGCGGGACTTGGCGACAGCGCTAACGTAACAATCTTTGTAAAAGGTAACGTTCTATTAGCTTATTACAAAAACAAAGTTGCCGAAAACTAAGCTTATAGACCAACTGCAGGATATTCCCTATGCAGTCCAAATCAGAGGACAAAACACCAAAATTTTACAAAGAAGATGGTTGGAAAYTTTTGTTTTGTCTTCTGTATTGAACGGCTCAGGGAATGGCTGAAACTGGTCTATAGTTTTCGGTTTGCGTAAGAAGAACTGAAACAGTAATAATAGCAAAAAAATGATTTCCCTATGATTTTTTCACGCAGCCCCTCCTAAAATAGTTAGTTCAACACACAGCCAATATGCCTTGGAAGGATGGAGATTTTCTTTTGATTGCAATGTTCTTGACGATGATAACCAATTAAATGTCACTTGGCGTAAAGTTGGCGTTGGTGAAATATCGAGCTYCAGGAGACATAGTATTGCAGCTGTCAGTTGGGATGATAAAGGCCAATATCAATGTACAGCTGTTAATAGTTTTGGATGTACGGCAAGAAGTTCCATAGCAAATATTACTGTTGTTGGTAAGCTTGTTATGTCATTCAGATAAGTATATCGGCCCTATTGACACCTTCCCATCAACCAACAGCGTGACTCTCGCTCGCCGTCCCATCAACCAAAAGCGTGACTCTCATTCACCCTCCCATCGGGTAAATTCATGATCCGTTGATCTGTYGTTTGCCGTCAGGCGTTCTTTCCGAAAAAGTGGTTTTTGATCTGAATGACGCGTTTTTATTGAAAACTGAATACTTTGATCGACAGTTGCGACCGTGACATATCGACTGTGGCGGGAGATTAAAACCGTTTGGCCTCGGAATCGCGTATAGATAAATGTTAATCTCGCACCCTTATTCGATTCGTAACGAATATTACATTATTGATAACATTTGTATTGCTAGCGCTAGAATTACATTTACGGGAAAAGACACTATAAACATGATTAGTCGGT